TGTCAGCGTTATCGGATGCTCTCTGACTGCAACCTTCCTTCCGCCAAAAGCTGCAAAAGACAACTTTTGGCGGAAGGAAGGTTGCAGTCAGAGAGCATCCGATAACGCTGACAAAGGAGTGGCGTTGGCACTGAGAAACCGCTGGCGCTGGGAAAGGAACGGTGCAGCGACCGACCAACCGCGCGCTCGGTGCCTCCAAAATGCTACCGGTTCTACCCACTCTGTCCCCCACAGGCTTAGGGAAGTCTGTTGTCCTTTTCTTTTTTCTTCTCTGGCCTACGCTGGTGCAGTGGTGTCATCTTGGCTCAGTGCAGCCTCGACTTCCTGGGATCCAGCGATCCTCCTGCCTCAGCCTCTAGAGTAGCCGAGACCACCGGTGAGTGCTACCACCCCCGTCTAATTCGTGTGTGTGTATATGTATGTGTGTGTGTGTGTGTGTGTGTGTGTGTATTAGAGCCTGGGGTCTCGCTATGTTGCCCAGGCTGGTCTTGAACTCCTGAGCTCAAGTGATTTGCTCACTTGGGACTCCCAAAGTGCTGGGATCACAGGCGTTGGCCACCGAGGCCGGCAGGAAGTCTGTACTGTTCTTGCATTCCACGCATTGCGTTGCGCAGTGGGAGAGTAGTCGACTTATGCCCTGAGAACCACGCAGATCCTGTTGGTCCCAGGAACAAAGTAAAAACCATTCTGGTCGCCAACAGCTTCCTACGCAGCAAACAGCCATCCAGCCTCCGTGACTGGGCTCTTCCAGGTCACCCCTAGCTCCCAGGCTCTCTTCCGGGTCCAGAACCCACAGGATCCTACAGGAGGGGCCGACAACTGCTTGCCTTCGACACTTGAAACTCTCGGTCTAAGGTTCCCTAAGAGCGTAAAAGGCACAGCGTTTTCTGACCGCAGCTTCAGGTCTCCCTCACCTGTCCCGGTACCTCTCCTGCAGGAGGGAACTCTGTGGGAACTGCTCGTTGATTCTGATGGTTAACTCTGTCAGATGTCTTTGATATTGGGCATAGGAGTTGGAAGAGGGCTAGAGAGAAAAATGAACTGCAAGACTCCAGCACAGGAGGTGGGATTGATGGCAGACGTCTGTTCCCTCTCTAAACCCAATAAACATCTCAAATTGCCATCCACTTTCCTATACCCTTGATTTGTGAAATGGATCACTGAGGCTTTCTCTGTCTTTCCGGAAATGCAAACAGCTGAATTTTCAAGAGCTTGAATTCTCTCACACTTTTCAGTCAAGAGTGGGGCTATAAACTCCTTCCTCACAGGAAATAAGGAACTGCCACGGCTTGGAAGAAAAACGTATTTTTCCCATAAGCTTTCACATTTCCCAAAAAAACTACACATCCGGATGTAATTCCCCCCCCCCAAGAGATTTACAGCCCCTACCAAGAGCGTTCCCACGCAAACGCATCATCTCCCAATCGCATCCTGAAGGCACCATGCAACCAATTCCATCCTTTTCTGGATGAACCTGGGCAGAGGACAGGTGCAGAGGAGCCCAGAGAAGGGCCTTGACAAGTCAGGAGACCCAATTTGGGGTCGCAATTCTCACCCACTCCCAAGGTGTTTGTTTTGATCTTCCCTTCCCACCATACTACTTCTTCTGCTACCTGGTTTCTCCCCGTATTCCAGGATCCTCCAATTGCCTTCTGGTCTTACAGACGGGAGAATAAATGAAAAATGGCATCGTTTCCACCTTAAAAGTTACAAGCACTTCACCAAAAGGAACAGCCTAGGTAGAGCCTTTTTAAAACAAATGCCCGCCCACTGCTTCACCCTCCTCATTTCCACCTCAGCAGAGCATTTTAGCAGAAAAGCTGACTCAGAGCAGTAGCTCCCTCCTGTAGTCCCAGCACTCTGGGAGGCTGAGTCAGGAGGATCTCTTTAGTCCAGAAGTTCAAGACCACCCTAAGCACAAAGTAAGAACCTTGCCTCTACAAAAAACAAAAAAGAAAAGAAAAGAAAAAAAATTGAAAAATTAGTCAGATTTGGTCTTGAGTGCCTGTAGTCCCAGCTACTAGGGAAGCTGAAGTGGGAGGATCTCTTGAGCCCTGGAGATTCAGGCTGCAGTGAATAGTGATTTGTGACTGCACCACTGCAGTTCAATCTGGGTGACAGAGGGAGATGTTGTCTCAAAAAAATAAAATAAAATAAAATAAAATAAAATAACATAGCTGGGATTACAAGCCCTGCAAGAAGGGGCCACCTGAGACATTATTACATATACCATTAACAGAGGAGAATGCTGCAAATTGTACTCTGTCCCAATGGTAAGAGGCCACCCATTTAAAAATATATACGTGTTTCAGAGATACTAAATGATAAAAACATTTACCTTAGAATTGATTAAATTCAGGTATCCACTCCTTTGTTTTCAATCTTTAGTGCCATTTTTTAGTTTATGTCTTGAAAATAGCATAGAGATTAGAGTTGTGATTTTTTATTTTTTAAATTATTTTTATTTTGTTCACTTATTTATTTTTGAGACAGAATCTTGCTCTGTCGCCAAGGCTGGAATGCAGTGGCATGATCTTGGTTGACTGTAACCTCTGCCTCCCAGGTTCAAGCCATTCTTGTGCCTCAGCCTCCCGAGTAGTTGGGACCATTGGCTCCTGCCATAACACCCAGGTAATTTTTGTATTTTTAGAAGAGACGGGGTTTCACCATGTTGGCCAGGCTAGCCTCGAA